AAAAGGGTTAACAAACCTAGCCGATATTTAATGAAATGCTTCCTTCAACTTTCCGTCGTGAGTATTGATAAAAAATTCTGGTTGAAGGAAGGTCTTGAAAGTTCTATAATAAGCATATCGTGAACTATCTTCTAAAGTGGAATGTCTTTCCTGGTGAAACATATTAACAGACCGAGTTCTAAATTTATTAAGAAACATATCTGCACTGACAACTGACTGACATAACCATATAAAATCATAAAGCAAGTAAGTTCCTGAAAGCATAAGAACAGGAACGATCCAGATTTAATGGTAGACACGATATATCGTATTTTACAGTCATGTACATAATCATCAGTTATAAGTCATTTAACAATTTTATGGATATCGCCATATATACGGTTACTTTGGAGTTGCAGGGATACGAATGTTCTGTCTACCAACAGGTCTGGTCATTTTGAAACTGACTATATTCATCTTTACAAATGTATGTTAATAGTTAAAAAGTCGTTTAATTAAGGGTGGTTAGGTAGCGTCGCAACATTATTATGTGCCCTGACTTCATCCATTGCGAATTGATCCAATATGGTTTGATCAATGTGATTTCATCCAGTTCTGTATGACACTGCCATGCAGCTTTTCCAAAAATAACAAGTAATGAAAAGATATCCGATTTGTAGCACTAGCTACATTGGAAGTATTTACAACGATGACCGATCGCGACTTTCTTATACGGTCGTGCCGATATTGCAAATGTTTTCACGATTTTTCAAATTACATTTTATACAATGTGAAATTTATGTATAGCTTAAAGTAATTTCCACTAATATCTAATATCAAGCAATCTTCGATGCTGTTAGCAATATATTTTGCATCATGTGACATCATGCAGTTAAGTATTATCATTGAATGTATGGTTTGAGCCCGGGGCTGTTTTTAAAGCATGTGTGTATTGTCTTAAATTGTGTTTAACGTCGTGCTTGGGAATATTTTGCTCATATGACAACGTGCATGCGTGTGTATGTGTATGTGCGGCTGCTTGTACTAGCCCAGACTGAAGCTGGTTTGATAGTGCTAGCCCACTGAGATGCCATGCCACAGTGAAGCATGAATACCCCACTCAGACACATTATTAGTCTGAGCCGACCAGTCCTTGTTGTACCCATTAATGCCGAGCGCCAGGCAGGGACCAACAAAGTACCATAGTTTAACGTCTTTTGGTATGACGCGGACGGGGATCAAACCCGCGACATTCCGCTCTCCGGTCGGACGCTCTAACCACTACACCACGGAGGCGGTCATACTCAAAAGTAATCGGGTACATTATAGCATAAGGTGTTCCGACAATGATCCCTTTAGCTTCACCGATTATCTTGTAAAGGCGTGGCTTTGCTTAGATTCAGAACATGTGGTTCCCCTCTACCCTCCAATATTGCCGTACATGGCATAGGTTTCACCTTTGTTCGTGTTGTCTCTTGAACGAATGGGCGAGTTTCGTTTTACGACACTTTTAGCAATATCTCAGCAATATCACGCTGAGGGACACCGGAAAATGGCTGCACACATTGTACCCATGTAGGGAATTGAACCCGGGCTTTCAGTGTGACGATCGAATGCTTTTACCACTGGGCTACAAAATTGGCCCGCTTTGTCATAAATTTGATAGATTCTTATCTTGGTTTTATTCATTCGAAACATTTATATACATATCATTTATTAATTTCACCCAGACTTTCAGAACACTTTTATTCATGTTGACTAAATACAATGTTCCATTTGGACGTAGTTGATGTATGTGAATCATTTACATATACTTAAAGATGCAAGTTAACACAACTTAGTACCTTACTGCTGAGTATGTGCGGAGAGTTCGACATACGCAACACTTCAGGATATTCTAAGGTGAACATTGTTGTTACATAGCATGGAGTCAACGCTGGTCATATAGTCTAGATATATTTCCTTACCATGGAAATTAATGCTATTTACGTCAAAATAGCTATCTTCTATTCATCTTGGACCGAGAAATTTAAGTTAAAACTTACCAGATCCCAATGGTACTGAAATCCATGACGCATACAAGCAACATCTACGACTATGACATCAACGCAAACATACTTCTCGGTGACCGCACGAGAACACTTATCGCATTTACACATATGTGTAACATGAGTTTATACTCGATTCTCTTGTTTCAAGCCCAGCATAAGCGTGCACATATGGACATTCATTTCCTATCAGGAATTTGTTTAACAAATGATGTAATTGTTTCCTGTCAATAACAGGTGCTGGAATAAAACATACAACAAAGGCTGAAGTTAACTGGCAGTGAATGACGAGATCCATCACGACTGTCCTATGCCTCCAGTACATACAATTATGGTCGCAGAGACACGAGACTACATAAATGTGTCTAAATCGTCTAGGGACGTGATGCCATACACCTGGGGGCTCTCGTCTCATGTAAGTCCCGACCAGACAGTTCAGATCCCACGATGTATGTTTTTCCTAGTTTCTGCTGGCTCCAGTGCAAAACTGTATCTATTGCAGTTGTTTCCAGACCAACAATCTGTGCTAAACCTGTGTACACTACGAGGCCAAATGGAACATCCTCTGTTAGATACCGGCTCTTGAAGTCTGGTATATATCCTTCGTCAGCTGTAATCATGGGATGAAATATTCCACTATACGCCTGGTTTGTTGTCAGAGCTTGTTTAAGGCTGCTTGAATCAGTAATGGACGATCCATAAGTGTCTAATAACCACTGAAGTACACTTGTGGTTTCATTTGGTCTTCCTCGTTGTTTGCGTAGTTTTATCATGTTGATTTCATCGTCGAGATGACTCACCCACTGTATCTGGGATACAGCATTTTTGCCACAATCTTTCCATTTTCCATAAAAGATTCCAAGATGCATCACACAGGCCTTGTGAGTTAGACCTAGACTGTGACTCACTTGCTGAATAACTGGAAACTTTCCCCAGATGTGCTGTAACTGACAAAACGGATTGAGGAGAGTTTTATCATCATCGTGAACAATAAACATCTTCAATGATTCCTTAATGCCAATTACATTTACCTTCACGCCATACTCAGCTATTCTACAGGCCCAGGGAAGGGTTTCGGCCAATATGATCATAAAGTCATCAAATTTATTTTGAAGAATGTGACGGGCTTGAAACTCAAAACCTGGCTTTCCAGAACAAGGCAACAAGGATGGTTCCCTTCTGTATGTAGGGTTCAATGGCTGTCAGGTACTTCCCATGGGAAGATGCAGGGACAACTAAGATGACGATGTCTGCTCCTGGCACCACTTCTGCAGGGTCGTCAGATATAGCATGGGGGTTAGCTTTGTATAAAGTTGATTTGCCCTTGAAAGATGTGAATGAACATGACAGAATGTTGTTTGCTGCAGCTTTTGTCCATTCCCGAGCCTGGGAAAGTGCAAAGGACGCGACATGTCATGTCAGGCTTCGAAGACACTAAAGTTGCAAGAACATGGGCTCCGTTGCCACCACCACAAATAAGAACTGTTACTGTCATTACCAGTTCTGTAAAGGAAAGAATAGCTGTAAACGTACTATTTTTTTGTATACAATAATTTCAAGTAATATACCTTATTTAATTGTTCTGCATCTTATACAGAAATCGTATACGTACTATTCATGTCATGCATGTGAAAATATTCACATAAATACATCAATGCTAAAGAAGTCTACGCTGTCCTCAGAAACAGATTCACTTGTGCCTACTTATCGATAAGGTCATTTATTAGTGCATATTTATTGTATTAACTTATATCCATAATAACTGCACAGAAGTTACATAATGCAACACCTGTACCAGCATATTAATAATATACTCTCCCAAAATAGAAACGCATATAGAATTTCAACTGTATTTTTGAAACATCTTGTAGGTTTTATAAGTCAATGAAATATAGAGAAATTGCACACTGGGAATGCGGACTTATCCGTCTGTGGCACCAACTCGAGGAAAGTCAGTTTGAGTGTCACATGGAGACGTGTGGTGGCGCTCAAGTCAATACCTCGTGTGACCACCGTTGGCATCCAGAACTGCACGGCATCGGCTCGGCATCGAACGAATATGTCTCAGAACCTCGTGTTGCCCAATTGCAGCCCACTCTGCCTGTAGTGCCTGTGCGAGTTGATGAAGTGTCTGGGGCTGAGGGTTACGGCGTCGCACCCGTCTGTCCAGGGCATCCCACAGATGTTCGATCCAGTTTAAGTCCGGTGATCTTGAGGCTCAGGGGAGCACATTGATGTTGTGGTTCTGGAGGAAGTCTCTAGTGTGACGTGCTGCGTGGGGCCTGGCATTGTCCTGTTGCAACAACTCCCTTTGGCGATCAATGATTGGAAGGAAGTGTGGGATTTCGTCACAGTACCGTCGAGCTGTCAGGTTGCCCTGGAATCATCACCAAATCACTTCTCCTACGGCAGGTGATCGCTCCCCACATCATAACACTTTCCCGGCCGAATCTGTCCACCTGGGGAACGCAAGCGTCGGCGAAACGTTCACGTCTGTACACCCGCATTCTTCCATCGCGTCGTTCCAATAGAAATCGTGATTCATCACTGAACCAGATTCTACGCCAATTCGGTAGGTTCCAGGCCTGAACGTTAGTGCACCATTGAACTCGATGTCGACGATGTTGTTGTCGAAGCACAGGGCCAAAATAAGGTCTTCTGGCACGTAAACCAGCCTCTCTCAACCTGTTCCGAGCGGTTCTGGTCGCCGTAGCTGTTCGATGACGCAGGTGATGTACCCGGATGTAGCGATCCTGCGCCGCAGTGGTCGCTCGAGGTCGCCCACTACGAGGGGCATCTGCTACCGCATTCTGCCGGCGATAGCTCTCCCAGAGCCGTGAAATGGTGCTTTGGTGAACATTCATGCGTCGGGCAACTGCACGTTGAGACTGGCCAGCTTCAAGCAAACCAATGGCGATATGACGGTTGGCTTCACTTAGACGTGGCATTTTGCGTTCGTCAACAATATTCCAAATACAGTGAATAATCGACAGACAGCGATCAACCTTTTATACCCATCATTGAGACTATCTGATCCCCAACTTTCACGTGCATTGCATGTGAATTGTGTATTCTGTGACACTACACCGAAATTGAAAATCATGCTGTTAAATACGGGTATTTTACGGATGGTGCGTTTTGTTGTGATGTTTCAAAACTAAACACCATAGGACTCATAAACAGAGCAAAACCTTTTGTAAAATGAATCACGTTTTAATTCATTGCTACATGAAATTGCTATTTTCATGATGCGTTTCCTTTTGGGAGAGTATATGTTTAAACCAGTGAAATGTGATCACACGAAAGTTAATATATGTATCGCAATAGCAATTTTGCAGGTTTACTGATATACACGCTCGACGTTCTAGTTATAGGTACTTCTGGTAGTGTAACCAACAGCACATTGTTCAGTGCTGAGATGTTTGTACATTCCTCAATACATGTGGGGCTGTGGGGTAGCCTAATGGTTAAAGCTTTCGCTCGTCACGCCGAAGGCCCGAGTTCGATTCCCTACATGGGTACAATGCGTGAAATCCATTGATGATGTCCCCCGCCGTTATATTGCTGGAATATTGGTGAATGTGGCGTAAAAACATACTCACTCACTCACTCACCTGATAACTGTCAGTATCTTCAAGGAACCCTCAGTCTTGATGTCTACACATATTAATATACATACATATGATTACTGATCACTTAACCATAAAGATCAGTGTCGAAGTTTCACAATAGTTGAACTCTTGTCCTGAACCCTTTCCCTGACCCTTAAAGTCTACCCCCAACCCGAGCTATCAACAGCAGAGCACAGTCCCTAACCTATCACAATAAGGGCTAGAAATGTCCTCACATACCTTGAAGCTTCACAGACTTATGGCGACCTTCTGATGAGTAGTCGGTTGTTAGTGATGGCCAGTAGATAGAACGGACAAATATTCACGGCACATCATGACAAATGATGTGGTAAATGCATACCAATTTGCTTTCACGTTTCGCGTAAACAACCTCGTATGCTATCACTGATGCATATATTCCACATCATATAGACCATTCTTAATGAGGCCTCATGAATATTCATATCTGTACCAAAACGAGGCTAAATGGGACAAGGACACAATCGCATAATGGCGACAAATCTCAATGTATACTTCCTGGTTTCAAATTTCCCTTGAACGGTACATTACGAAACTGTCCAGTAGTTCAGGGAAATCGCAGAGAAATGGGAAAGGGCTACACAAATGTTTCTGTAGCATATCCACGGATTGAAGGGTGAATAATTACTGTAAATCACGACACATCACGATAAGTCATATGACCTAGATATCTAGGTAACGTTTACCATGTTGCGCAGCATTTATGAAGGGAAGTCACAATATTACCAAGGGAAGTCAATTACGTTTACTTTATCAACATATGAACAAAGCAAAGACTCAACGTATTTCCTGACCTGGATTCAAATCATCCACTTCCACATGGGAGTAGTGTTGTTAATTCTTGAGCTGGATAATCGAGATTATAAGTAATATGTAGATCAAGATAGCTCTCCTCGAGTGGATCTGGACCAAACAAATTTGTTTGTATTATTCATGTGATGAAATTATTTGTTTGGTATTTTTTCTGTTAAAATGTTTTGTCCTATCGACTCTGTTTTATAGATATTGGGTATTTATTCACGCATTTATTTACAGTTGTACAGGACTAGTGGTGATGGCGATGTGCGCGTAGCTGCATGTTACAATCGCAGAGGAAAAACGAATCGCCACATCATCATGTAGAAACTATTTATTTCAATCAACATGAGTGGGACCAGAGACCATATCTATTATATGGTCTCTGGTGGACACAATGTGCAAGACAAAACTGGATGGTTTTTTTCAAGTTTTTCCTTGACTGATTTGGAGGTGAATAATTAACATGGGGAATATTTGAACCAATTTTCAATACTTTGTAACTATACCATAAAATTGATTTATTGTAGATCAGGTGTATTTATAATGTAACTGAAGACATTTTTAAGGAGAACATATTATCAGATTAACATAACAGGATTCACACTACAGCAAACAATTAACCCAAATAAATAACGAACACCTGGAGTGCAGTTAATAATAATTTATTTTGAAATGGTGTCTTAAAAGTCCAATAACAATAGACACATTCACAATAGCTTCCAACTGTAATACTATTGAATGACTGATTTGGAGGTGAATAATTAACATGGGGAATATTTGAACCAATTTTCAATACTTTGTAACTATACCATAAAATTGATTTATTGTAGATCAGGTGTATTTATAATGTAACTGAAGACATTTTAAGGAGAACATATTATCAGAATAACATAACAGGATTCACACTACAGTAAACAATTAACCCAAATAAATAACGAACACCTGCGGTGCAGTTAATAATAATTTATTTTGAAATGGTGTCTTAAAAGTCCAATAACAATAGACACATTCACAATAGCTTCCAACTGTAATACTATTGAGTAACAATAAAAATGATGCAAATTGAAAATATATTGGGTGCAATATTTATGTTGATAGAAGTATCCTTTTAGATTAGTCTGACATGGCAACAATTACAGCTGGATCAATGCATAATTTCTCCCCTTACACATTATCATAATCTCTTACCTATGAATGATGTCTTTTTCTGATTCCCAACTAACTCTTTTCAAACATGATGAAATACATTCTTTTCATCAATTATTAATTAAACAGCAGCAAATGAGTTACATCTACAACTATGCCATTATGAAAGACCTTTCTATTATCCATCAATGTGTATGTATTACAGCTGTCTCTTTTTCATCCACCATTTACACAACACAAATGCACCAAACAATTTCATTTACATTCATGTCTGTCAATTTTGTGCTGTTTGGGCAAGGTACTTCACAAAACCTGGGAAGATATTCAACAAACGAAAACGTTCCAGCTAATCAGTGCCAATGTTTGAAATGATGTAATACTGTAAAATTTTCAATCAATTTTTATCATCATACATGAATTTCCAAACTCCAAACTTTTCAAGTTCAAGTTTTCTGTTCAATTTTTCTATTTTGTCAACATTTTCTTTGAGTTGCCTCCCTGTTCATGTAAGTTTTGCTGGAGTTGTTCTATGTAGGACTGGGGTCAGTGGCTGCTGTATCCTCTCTGCTTCACTGTAATATAAGCATTGTAAAGCATCACTATTATCTCTTCGACCACACAAACAATAAATATATCTCTGGAATTACAAATATACATCAAGGAATAGTTGCTAACATCATTTCATATATTTTAGACAGTATGGGCAATCAATATTTTTATATGTAAATAACATAGCATATAGGTCAAAGTTCAGTTGTATTAAATTCTTTAAAACCATGTCAGTTGGCAAAATTAACTTAATACGATCTGACATTCTTACTGTATCTGAGATGGTGACTGTGGTAGATTCCTTATGGGAGGTTCCTGAGCTGGTGACATGCTCTCTGACTCTTAATTAGCA